GGAAAAAAATCGAGAAAAGTATTGAAGAATAAACTTGAAAGCTTTATTGACTGTTCTATTTGTAGAAAGCACAAACATTAAACGAAAAAAAAAAAATCAATTATTAAATAACAACGCCGAAGTATTGAATTAATATGTTAGCATATGAAACAGCTTCTTTTCCTTCCTCAGTTAACGATTATTAAATCTATCAATTATATAACTTTACTTATTGATTCATATTTCCTTAGAAACAAAAAAGTCGTCTAATCTTTTTTCTTTTTTTTTCTTTATTCAATAAAGCGAAAGTTTAATTAGTAACTTTTAAGTATGCGCTTTCCTTTTTTTTTTCTATTAATTGAAAATTCATTTAATAAACTTTTGGAATTAACAAAGCTTGAAAAAAATGTATAGAAAAAAAAAGAATCTATTTTGACACGAGAAGAAAAATGTCATTCACTTGCATCTGCTAATTCCATTGTTCCTAAACTCTTATTATATGATATTCTTTCTTTTTTTTTTCTATATTTACACCTACATATAAATTTATTCTCAAGAGAAAAACAATAAATACAAATATTCAATCAACAAGTTAATTTACTACAGGATATAGGCTATTGTGAATCAAATCAATTTTTAAGACATGTCAATAATAAAACAGATTCTAGAAATACAAAAGATAAAAAAGAACTCTTGATGAGATGATAAATCTAAAATAGATCTATTCTCGTTCCGTATAAACGGAAATGAGATCAGGTGTATCCGATTGAAAACTGCTAATTTACGATTATTGTTCAAATACATTGTAGCGAAAAAAAATTGTCTTGAATAAATACAATAATTTCTTTTTATATTATTATTGTGATTATTAACATTTCAACGTGTTACATTCATATTTAAAGACATATATAACTAAATTTTTGAATAAAAGTTTTAGCCTCTATCATAGTTGAAACAAAAAATTCCCATGGTTAAATCTCTTGAGATATTTTTTAATTAATAGAGGAAAAAAAATCAGCTGCTTTTGAGACAATTCATTGATTTATTCACCAGTGTGTAAATCAAATTTTATATTTATGTATGATTTAATAAATGTCAATTCATGATGGATTTATTATAAAATATACTAATTAATTTTACTTCAATATTATATATACTTTGTTGAACATGCAATAGTTTTGATTATAACTATAATGAGATTAATAAATAAACGGAAATTTAGAAAGATTAGTTGATTGCCTATGGAGGAAATCGTTTCAATAAAGATCTTCCTTGTTTACTATAGAGTTCAATGAAGATGATAGTAGTGTCAATATAGATGAAATAAATTTTCTCTTATATCAGAGAGGACACCATCGGATACCCTAATGAATCTATTAAATACAGAGTATCCACAATGGTATACCGTTACCAGAATGTCATAGAAATCTCTGGATACTTTATGGGTTTTTAATACTTGATTATAAATTGTTTCTAAATATCCAATCTACTAACTTGTTAAAAGATTTTTCATAGAAGAGTGTAGAAATTGGACAGGTATCTATATACTGAGACAATTCTCAGTAAGGTACCCAACCAAGATCGTGTGACATACGGAAAACAGAGTACCAAAAAAACACTCACATAGATCTCATTTTCAATAGAATAGAGAGATAGAACATGAAATTCTACACATTCCCATCTTTTTATTTTGTTTTTAGCTGAAGCCAAAAGAAAACTGTTTTTGTAAACTAAATAGTCCTAAAGAGTCTATCACTTTTGGACGTTTCGAATGATAATCATATTACCCGTAACTTTTCTATTATAAACCAAATATGAAGATTAAATACGTAGATCAATGTAGTTTTTTCTATTCCACAAAATGACATATTATTCAGTTTATGCAGGGTCAGACGTCTGACTCTGCATAAACTAATCGATATGGAATTTTGTAGAGTATGAAAAACTACGTTGATATACATTATTAGTTTTCATATTGAGTTTATAAAAGAAATAATTATAATTACCATAGTTCTTATCGAAAACGCTCAAAACTGATACACTCCTAAAGAGCATTTAGTCTTCGAAATTTTTTTTTTTTTGTATTCAACAAAACAAATAATAAATACATAGGCATGTGCAGAATTCATAATAACAATTATTTAAAACAACTTTTCTCATTATGTATGCACATTATATTTATAAATAAAATACTTTTCTTTAAATTTTGTAAAAAACTATAGCTAATAATGACAATATTTTTATTCATATTGAAGTGTAAAACGAATTATGAATGTTAGAACTTTTTATAGCTTATGTTCTTTTTTTTTAATAATGATGGAAAAAAACTAATGATTGCCTATAAAACAGTGAACAACTGTTATATGTATATTTTAAAATATAAAGAATAAAATCGATTCAATTTATTATTCTCTTAGAAAGTATGTTTATTTAAAAATTCCATAACACTTCAGTAGTTGAATCTATTTACATGTTTCTTTCGTTGTTTGATTCCATACTCACCTAAGTTTTATTAGGTATGTTTCACATAAAATGGCTGTACCTATGAACATTAGGAAGGAAGAGAAAGAATAACCTTGCCTTTCGACTACCTTGCGGTATGACATACTACCGAGTGGCAGATTCAGTAGCTCAGTATGTTCTCTACAACTAATATTAGCTGTAGCTCTAGACAGAGGACAATCTGACTCAAACGTCTTGCACTCGATTGCTTGAGCTCCCCGTGCACAGTAGTACCTTATGGGTACGTGTCGAACAACATAGTCACTTAGTCATGGGGGGTTATGAACATTAGAATCTAGATTATTCTATTCGTCGCCAAATTTGAGTTATCTAAGACACAAATAAAGTGATGTGAAATAAAAATTTTTAATAAACATGACATAAAATTATTTCAAAGCTCACGGATAATGCTTCAATTGTTCAAAAGTTATTCACGTTCTTTTTTGTTCGGCAGACTATTAGAACATCCTGTATTGTTTCATAAACTTTTTCTAGTCTACTTTTATTTATATTTCTTTTTGTAGAGGAGTCTTACAGAGAAATATTTGCATTTGTGCACTGTATATGTTCATCACATAACCTTCTTTTTTTTATTTCTTTTATTATAGCAACAATATATACAGATGCTCTTTTATTAGTATTAGTACTTATAGATTAGATGACAAAAGACAAACATATTTAAAAACTAAAATTATTTCCTTTTTTCTGTTAGGTTTTCATATACGTGCTACAATATTATTTATATATCGTGTTCATCGATTTACAACATATGCATAATTATAATTTTCTTCTTGTCTTTTAGCATTAATAGCATTAGATTGAGCACGTCAAACTTTATCAATGTAACCACTAATAAAAAAAAAAGACGATAATTACATTACACACAACACACGTATTAACAAATTATCATCATATAATATTTGATATTACGTGCTAAACATAAATTTTATGTATAACATGTCTTGTTATATTTGATTCACATTTTTTTTTTTGTTATGTCAATTATCAACATCAAAAACTGAAAATCAAATTATAACTAAATCAATTAGCGGAACATTATTCATATTATCAACATCTTTTGCTTTATTTATTGATAGATTGACACATTTTTATATTCATATTCATCATTTTTTTGATAATAATGATATGTTAAATATATTTAATCATCTATTTAATACGACAATGTGCCAAATGTTTACGATTAACATCATCAAAAATACATTTATGATATAATCATAGTATAATATGTTCGATTATATTTCTTATACATTCTGTATCAGTGACATTTCTGGAACAGTTTGAATGTAGATAGTCGTCATGGCTGACAAGAGAGCTATTTCAACTGTAATTCGACGTTTGAACTCATATTTAGCCTATAACGAAGTCTCGATAAAGCTAGAAAAACTTTAGAAGAGTTCGTGCCTATAGGCTATTGAAGCCGAATCATGACCATTTTATTCGACCTGAGATTCAGCCCATAGATAGGTCTAATGATTCTTAGAATACCATGAAAGTTTCAGCCGAAAAGAATGTTTCTTTGTCAAGATATTAAATTTCTAACAAATGATTGCTGGCCACAGACATATAACAATAATCAAGTTTATGTGGAAATTCAATATGTTGACAGAGGAACATTTTTTTCAACTGAAACTTTCAGGAAATTTCTAAGGATCATTAGATCTACTCTATGGGCTGGATTTCAGGTCAAAATATCATTACTCTATTTTTCAGTACATACCTAAAAATGGGTCGAAAATGCAGTAAAACAGTCATACCTTGGCACCAGAGGCCCAAGAGTGCGAATGCTTTTAAATTTTTTTCTAGCTTCATCAAGATTTTGTTATGGACTCGATATGAGTTCAAACGGCGAGGTCTAGTTCGAATAGTTCTCTCATGAGTACCAGCGTTGTTCGACATATATTCACAATGTAGTGTGTTCTAACCTTAGTATTACCAATCATGAAATGATCCGGAACAAGTCACTAACAGCTGCCAGTCTCGCATCATTCGTCCGATAGCATGCTGACTATGCTGTAACATACAGATGCTCTTATGGTTCGTTCGTGCACCTGGAGAATTCAAGCAATTGAGCGCAAGAACTCTGCATCAGGCTGAACTTCTGTCTAGAGCTACAGCTAGTATTAGTTGTAGGAAAGATATTGAGCTATTAAATCTGCTGCTAGGAAGTGTCTCATACTGCAAGATAATCAAAAGGTAGGGGATTCTTCCTTCTTTCGTGAATATAGATTAAATCGATATAAATATTTTCATCATAATCTTTTCATTGCCTATCGAGCTATGTATATTAATCATATAATATTATTTAGTTTTTAAATAACTTCTTTTCGGCGCATAATTTCGACAACCAATTAAAGAACTTATATGAGCACGAGCAATAGAATAAATGCAAATTTATTATACTTTTGTTTTAAAATGAGCAAGAGAAAAAAAAACTCTAAGTCATATTTATTATTTTTATATATAGTTGCTTTAAAAAAAATGAATATAAATTTTTATAATTATGATATTGTGCAATTGCTTGTATTTTTCTAGAAAAATAAAAACAAAATTGACTTTTTTCTTTTTTTTTTTATAATTAATTCATATATTTACTGGTGCATTTGATTTTGTATTATTATTATAATTTTCAGATAATTCAGCTTTAGTTTGATATGTATCTGTTGATGTACCAGCAATTAAACCATATTGACCATCATGTACTGGACGTAAATTTTGATCACCAAGTGGTTGATCAAACCAACGACGACTAGCAACAACACTTGATTCACGTCCATAATCTGGTGTTGGATTTTGATTACTATAAGTTGGTTTTGTACTCTAGTAAATAAAACAATGAAACAATATCTCATTTGATATCAATTTAATCAAACCTTTTGCATTAACATTGGAACAGTTCCTAAATTTCGTTGTGAATCAGGTGTACCTACAGCTTTATCAGAAGAAAATGTCGCCAATGTAAATTCTGTCGGTTGATATTCCCTATTATTATCACGTGAATGTTGTCTTGATGATTTTGATGTTGAGGGTAATTTTAATACAGGCATAGTATTTGAAGTTCGATTATTTGATGATGTATGTTTAGTGTCAATCAATGCTTCACCATTATATAATGAACCTGGTTTTGATAGAATAATTGTCTTTGCTAGAAATGAAGAGAAAGACTTTCTCTATCTAATAGTGTATGCACTATCGAATTCTACTGCGTACCGTTGATAGGTGGCGCTATGATTATGGCAGAATGCAGCGAAGGTAGTGCCACCTATGAACGGCACGCAGATATATATATATATATATATATATCATTTTTGGGTGAAAACGTTACAGCCGACTTTCAAACATACTTTTTCCTCGATTCCGTCCGCCACCTTCGAGTGGTTGTAATTTACCATTAGGTGTCATATATAAAACTTCAGCTTTATTTGGACTTGGTTGTTCATGATTGATCATCATTGATGAAGGTAGACTATCATAAGTAAAAGCATTACTTGTTTCAGGTTTGATCTAGAAATAAATAAATTAAAATGAATATTTAAACATATAACAGAACAAAAAACAAAAGAATATTTTACCAATCGTCCCGATGCTGTTCGATAATAGATTACTTCTTGAATCATATCATAATCAACTGCCGACGGATCATAAGCTAGGGCAACTTCAGTTGATGTTGGTTGTGTTGCATCGATACCAATTGATTTTTTGTGTACTTTATGTGGTTTTGGACGTGGTTTTGGTGGAGGTGGTGGAGGAGGTGCAGTTGATTGTTGAGGAGGTGGTGATGGTGGTGGAGGTGGAGGTGCAATTGATTTACGTCTTTCCATTATTTCTCTATGTTGATGATCTTTACATCGACACCAATCGTAAACAACTTGATTATCTTCAACATGCATAACATGATGACGACAATTACATGTGTCTTTTATTTTGTTTTGTTCTAATGCCAATAATTCCCAATGTTTTAATTTTGATTTAGGATTTTCATGAAGATTTTTTTTCTTTGTACTTTTTTTTCGTTTTTTCTTTTTTAATGGTTTCGAAAAAAAATCTGAATTTTCATCAATGTCTGTTGGATTTTGACGATTAATATATAAACGATTTAATTCATCTAAATCTTCAACTATTAAGTCACCATTTGTTGCTTTTTTTTCTAATTTTAGTTTTTCTTGCTTATTATTTACATAATTTACAGTTGATTCAGACATTATTTTACCTTTAACATGTGTCGTTTGATCATCATCATCATCGCCGTCGTCTTCATCATTATCATCATCTGAACCTAAATGAAATAATGATTTATGAAAATTGACTTATAAGATTCAAGAGAAATTTAATATAAAACAAAAAAAACAATGTTTATGAAACAAATGATTTCCTACCATGAGGAATGTTTACTCGTCTAACATTATATGGTTCTATTGTATAATTTGAATTAAATGATGGTGGTACCTTTTTATTTTCTAGGCGATTAACCTAAATTTTTGAATAAGAAATTAATTTAAAAAAAAAATACTTTTTCAAATTAAGTAACATACCTGTTTGATAAGCATATTAGCAAGTGATTCAGGCAAAGCTGCTGGACCAAGAAATCTTGTTGGTATACCTTTGGTTGGTTCAATTTTAATTCTAAAATCATTGTAATATTCTTTTGTATTGTATTATACAGATTAATTCTTATCTTACCGTACAAAACTAACTCTATTATGTGGTTCGTCTTCTCCTTCATAATCTTTATCACGATTTTCATCATTTTCATATTGATTTTGATGTTGATAATGATGATCACAATATTGTTCACGTTCATGTTGTAATGCAGTTATATGATTTTTACATAAATTTAAATGTCTTGGATCATAACAACATGAATGATATTTGTGTAATTGAAAATATTTAACATTTTTTATTTCAGGAAAATAACATTGTAATAATTTTCTTGCTTCTTGTTTTGTTAAATTTTTCTTTCGACTTAATGCATCTATTTCTGCACGTGATAACGATGGTGGATGATGACGTGCTACACGACGTTCTTGTTGCATACCAATTGGTTTAATATAAACATGTGATTGGCGACACATAAAACAATCATATTCAGGATCACGCTCAGGTTCTTTTTCAACAGTTATTAATGATGATGCATGAGGATTTGAATTTAATGGTGATGGCATATTATTTGAAAAATTTCGATAACGAGGTGTTGTCTCTGTTGTCTGAAAAGAAGATATAGGTTTAGATTAATTATCATATATAAAAATTTCTTTTTCTTTTAACTTACTGCCATTGTGTGCAACTCGTTGTGTGTCTAGAGACGAAACGGTTAACAACAAACTAAATGTGTGTATGTGTTGAAGATTGATGTATATAGATGCAAAAATAATAAACAGACAATTAACAAACGAAAAATGATGCATTAAAGCTTTTAGATGGCATTCATCATATGGTGATCGAGCAATTTTCTTGTTTGCTTTTTAGCATTAAAAAAAAGAAATTGTATTTCTTTTACTAACTCTCTGTTTCTTTTTGTTTTATCACGGTAAAGTAAAGACAAATACGAAAAACTAACAATCGACAATTATTAAGTGTGACAGTTTGTTTTTTTTCAAAAAGCCATAGTTACTTTGCTATCGTTATGTTCGATTTTTTTGTGATGCAGTCAATGATAAAATTCATCTTCTTAATTCTAGAATAGAAATTTCACACTTAAAAAGCAACTAAAAGGATACTTTAAATACAAATGCTTGTGATTGATTTGACTATTGTAAAAGAGATTATGTAATAGTTCGAAAATGAATCAAGCCTCTCCCTCCACTTAAGAAAAGTTGATCACTGTCGAAGATATCAAAAGTGAGATCAGTACATGGTTTTACTATCGAAAATCTGTGATTACATAATCAACTTGACAATATATTCTTTTGGATACTTTCCATGTTGTCTTCTTTGCCCAAAAAAAGTTGATCTTTTCGATAAAAATCGATGTTGCCATGGACATATGGTTGTAAAATTGAAAGTATATGATCCAATAATGAACATCTTTGTTGGTAGACTCATTATTTTTATAAAATCTTCTGACTCCTTTTCTTCTTTCACGAGAGAATATCCCTAACTATCAAATCGCTTTTTGATCGAATATATGCTCAAACAATAGACCTTGTGAGGTATCATATATCCTATAATGTTTGGTTTTCCAGACCTCCAAAGCAGAAATGTGCGATTATTACTATTACTAGTTTTTCTGTACTACTATACTAATATATTCGATATCTTGATTAAATATGCTCCGATTCGACTCAAATTTATATGAATACTAAGATACTCAGTACTGATTAAGGTTTCAGAGTTTGAAGATAAATCATTGTTCATTATCGAAGATATATGTTTATTTAACATACTGATTAATTATTAAAAAGCAGCATGTATTCTTGCTTAAAGATTCAAGTATGAATTCATCTGATATTCTCAGCACACATTCATTCATGGTGAGCATGCATGTGGAAATGTCAGGTCAGGTGTCGATGCTTTAATTAATAAAAATTGGAACCATGAATTCGTAAACTTTTATGATGAACATACGGTACTGATATACTAAACTTAATTTTTCATAGGTGTCGATATCTTGCTTATGTATTTCACTGATCCAAATTAAATCTTTTTTTTTGTTTGAATGCGTTCTTTGCATAGAATCGTTGATTGTCGAAATCGGTAAAGAGCATTATTTGTATGCTGATGTAGTTGGCAAGAGAATTATATGTAAAGTGAAGAAGGAGTATCTGGATGAGCTATATCCGCGTTGAATATACATATATATTTAATCACAATAATTAATTTCTACTACTATTACAAATATCATGAATATGATTTGTTTCTCATGTTTATTCATTGGGTACAATTTATCGTGACTATATACTATGTATGGAACATTTTTTCAACAACTATCACTTCCAGTGATTAAATGATTCACTCCATTTTTGTTGTTTTTGTTGATTCTATTCTGATTTATAAATATGTGACTGAAAATAGATCACATGATGTAAAGTACATGAATTTTTCTTTCAGTTTTTATTAATTAAAGCACCAACAAATAAGCTAATATTTTCACAAGCATTTTCACTATGAAATGAATGTGCGCTGAAAATATCAGATGAATTCATACTTTCATCTTTAAGCAAGAATACATGCTATTTTTTAATAATCAATCAGTAGACCAAACAGATTCATATCTTCGATAATAAACAATGATTTATCTTCAAACTTTGAAATCTTAATCAGTACTGAGTACCTTAGTATTGATATAAATTTGAGCTGGATCCAAGCATGTTTAATCAAGATATCGAGTCTACTAGTATAGTAGTACAGGAAAACTAGTAATAGTAATAATCGCATATCCCTGCTCTGGAGGGTCTGGTAAACTAAACCCTTGTAGGATATATGATAGCTCACTGAAGTTTATCGTTTGAGTATATACTCGATCAAAAAGCGATTTGATAGTTGGAAATGTTCTCTTGTGAGTGTTAAAGTACTAAATCCTTATTATTGCTTGTCATACGGAGTATCATAATGTGATTATTGTAGTCATTATTGATTAAGAGATTTTTCTCACAAAAGAAAATGAAAACTAAATAAAACATTGTACAGTTTAATAAAACCAATGTCTTTACAGATCGTACTGGTCTCGATTGTTAAAACTAGGAGATATATTAGTTGTAAACATCGAAAAATTTATACATAAAAATTTACGTGTGTTCTATCGGTTTGTCATGATTTCTACATTAAACACTTTAACTGAAAGTAATTTATTATTTATTTGTTAAATATTCAACAAATGACATCATATTTGACTATTATTTTGTATTGATCACCAATCAACCTTGTTCATTAGAAGATCAAGGATAAATCCTCATAAAATTTGAAGAAATAGGAACAATTTTATTGTACATTTATGCACGAGTAAGTTTATGCAAACAAAATGAATAGAAGACATGCGTATTTTAAATGACGGCAACATTTTTTCTAAATCAGTTATATATTTTAAATAGACAAAATAGAATAACCTTTTTACATTATAATTAAAATTTAAAAAAAGTATTAGATAATTGTTGTATGTTGAATAATAAAAGCATAGAGCGGCTGTTTTAATAAATGTATTAATCTGTTTCTTCACGCTGATTTTTTTTATAGCAATGTATGTAAATAAAAAAGACGGAAATGAAAAGTAGTTTGATCCAATGATACGTAGAGAGAAATGTTATAAAACACTTGAGTTGAGGAAAAAATAATGTATCATGTGTTTATATTAAATCATACTCTACTTGTATTTTAAGTGTCGAGGTGGGCGACTAGAAGTAGGGAGTGTGACCACCGTTAGTAATAATGAGTCGTTGCAAGGCTCTGCAAAACATTATGATTTTTCCTATCGTATAGATAAATTCCAAATAAAAGAAATATTCTTGTTCTTGTTCTTCTTTTTTTTCTCCTTTCTGTATTTCTTTTTTTCATCATTTCTTCAAAAAAGAAACGCATTCCAATAACAACTAAGCGCAATCGTGTTAGTTATAGCACCATTCTTCATTTTGATGTTCTTCATCACCACAATGAATTCGAAAGAAATTTCTCGTTTGAGTATGTTACTTTTTATTAATACATATATTTCAATTTCTCGATTTATTTCTTTCATTTAGCAACAACATGCATATGCATGTCATTTTTCTTTTTCCTTTTTCAATGCACGTCTAGTCAGCCTTTATCAACAAGTTTATTGAAAGCTAACAATAATAATAATAATGACGATGATATTGTTGCTGATTTTATACGAATGAGACCATTATTGTATTCGAATTCAGATGATTTGAATTCTGAAGACAATGATTATGAAGTATGGTCACAATTATTAACTAAATTTTCAGAATTACACAACGAATATGATCAAAACAATCGACCCAGTACATCATTGCCTGTTCGTCGAGCAAATTTTTGGAAACGAGCTAATTTTTGGCGTAAACGCGCTAATTTTTGGTGACACAATTTCGTTTGATAAAACAAAAAAAAAACCTAATGAAAAAAGTTAATGTAAAATTTTAAAAACAATAAATAAAAATAAATATTAAAGTTTACTTTAACATTTCAAACTAATAAATTACAAGCATTAAAGAAAAAAAGTACTTCGAAGTGTAATTTTTAACATATATAAAAATGAATCATTTACATCGAAAAATATACAGATAATTAAAAACACTGTACTTCAAGATAAAAAATTTTTATTTAAAACTTATGACATTTGTGGTACATTTTATTGTAAGGGAAATTTTTTTATTACATACTGACATTAATAATAAAAAGAGAAGTTGCTACATTCATGATAGAAATGAGAACTAAAACATACAATGTAATTTTTATCTTTATTGAATAGAAAAGAGAGGAAAGACTAATTGAAAACTTTAAGTATTAGAATTATGTCAACGAGAAAGTCATAAAGTTTTTATTAATTTATTTAAAAATACAATAGCATTCAATTTGATAAATAAATATTACTATTGTGTTCGCATGTTATTTCGCGAGAGATTATCGCAAATAATGACAGAAATAGAAAATTTTTCACATTTTGATTATAAAAGTATTGCTAATAGAAACTAGATGAAAGAAAAAATTTTGAATGAAGATGTTTTTAAAAAAACGAGTATTTTGTATTTAATGCACTTTTACATGTAGTACTTGTATGTTCGTTAAGAACAACAGTAACCTCTTTTTTTCAGTTTATATTAATCATTTAAAGAAAAAGAAAATATATACATTTCTGTTTTAAAAACTTTTACTAGCATCATTATTAATTAATTCGTTGATATTTTTAAACAGATTAATTTCTATTTACGGCCAATCATATTTAAATTTTTTAATACATAATATTGTTTATTAATAGAATATGCTACCAATTTGTTTGTCTGTTATAGAATGGAACTAGGCATAACATGCACAAAGCAGTTTGTTTTCCAAAATGAGCAGTTCAGATAGTGTTGAGTATTTAGGTTATTGTCTAAGCGTTTCTTGAGGTATACGGATGATAATGGGAGCATCGTAAGGTTTAGTCGAGTTTGAATTCGGGTGTTCTTACGCATCGTTAACTTTCTTCTAGATGACATTTATCTCTTGAGTTTTTAGATCATTTATTTTGTTGTCTGTAGATTTACCATAGCCAACCTTAAAATCATTTCTAATGACTTATTTCTTCTTCAAACTTAATAACTGAATTCCTCATAGACTTAAAAAAATTAAAAAGAAAATTCATGATAT